GAAACAACAAACATGTCCCACCAGCCATATAAACCACATTTATCTGCTTGTTCTATCTACCCATACCACCTGCTTCAGCCTCCCAGAAAGCAGCACAGCACTCAGAGCTGTTCCCCTTGCTCACAAAATGATCTGGCCTCTCTGCTTGGCTCCTGCCCACTGGATTAGGCTGTTTCTGAGACATGAGGTGGAGATTTGCTCCTCCTAAAATGCCCACAGCCCACCTGTGTCAACAGGCACTGATTGCTGATGGTCTGAAAGATGCTTTGCCACCTTGCTTTAAGGCCCCTTTTTTTGGGCTGAGTTTGGAGGGGCTCCATTTAGGTTCAGCTTCGTTCCTCCTCTTGCTGTGTCAGGTCTTGCATCCAGAAAGCCAAAATAATTTCTGCTCCTCAGTGTCTTCACCGCAAAGCACAGATGGGCTTTGTGAAACCACCTGCCCTGCACTAAGAATGTGGTCAGAAAGAAGGAGTTAACGAGCTTGATAGCCCTTTACCCAAGGGAAGGAACTGAGATCCCACCTGCAGTGCTGTGTCCAGGTCGGGGGACAACAGCACAAGGAAGATGTGGACTTAATAGAGGCCATGGAGATGCTGCCAGGGCTGGAACTCCTCTGCTCTGGAGCCAGGTTTGGAGAGCTGGGGGGGTTCACCTGGAGAAGAGAAGGCTCTGGGGAGAGCTGAGAGCCCCTTGCAGGGCCTAAAGGGGCTCCAGGAGAGCTGGAGAGGGACTGGGGATGGGGGGCTGGAATGACAGGATGAGGAGGGATGGCTTCACATTGCCAGAGGGCAGGGTGAGATGGGATATTGGGAAGAAATTCTTCCCTGTGAGGGTGATGAGGACCTGGCACAGGTCGCCCAGAGAGGCTGTGGCTGCCCCATCCCTGGAAGTGTCCAAGGCCAGGTAGGATGGGGCTTGGAGCAACCTGGGCTAGTGGAAGGTGTCCCTGCCCATGGCAGGGGGTTGGAATGAGATGGTCTTTAAAGAGTCTTCTAACCCAAACCATTCTGGGATTCTGTGATTCTTTTTCCATATATTTTGCTTTTTTTTCTATTCAGTTGCTCCAAAATTAAATTAAAATATGTAAGAAGAAGGTAATAAGTTGCTCTCTGCATCAGCTGGCAACAAGCAAAGAAAATTTAGACTAGATCAGAGGAGACCTTCCAACCAAGAGGACAGGGATTCCACTGCAGGAGGGGAAAGCCACCATGAAGGGTGATTTTGGAATGACAAATCCATTTGCAGGAAAGGGGCTTGGACCAGATCCCCACTGTCCTTGTCACATCTGTTTTGGGGACAGCTGACCTCACTTAGATCAACAAAAAATAATTCACCACAGCAAAGTCAAAAATAACATCGTGGAATCATTTAGGTTGAAAAAGAGAATCACCACAATCCAACAAAGGTGGACAATTTTCACATACTCACAATTAAAATAAAAAATCCACCTAATTCTAATGCTTTGCAGCAATGTCCAGTCCAGGTTCTGCCCACTACCTCTCCCAGTTAGTGACCTGATCTCCAGTTTCTCAGGAGTCCCTTGTTTGGAAACAAAGGGTACAGCAGAACAGGTTTGAGTCATCCTTTGCAATAACTTTTAGTCTGTTTTTCAGTGTGCTGGAAGACCTGGGGTCAGATGGACACAGGAGCCAGCAGAGCTGGACTTGACCTCAGGACAAGCAGTGAAGACTGAACCTGGCTTCCCAGAGGATTTTTGGATGTTCTGAGCAAGGCAAGGCAACCTCACCTTTACAAACACTTAGATATTACCATTTTGCCACTGTTCTGCATTGACTGTGAGTGAGCAGGATCCATTTTTCCCACCTCTGGACCTGGGAAATGCTGCAGGCAGATGCACCATGGCCAACCTTCCTTTGCAGAGCAAGGGAAGAATCACAGAATCATGGAATGGTTTGGGTTGGAAGGGACCTTAAAGATCATTTAGTTCCAATCCCTTGCCATGAGTAGAGACACCTTCCACCCAGAGCATGTCTCTCCTTGTTATAAACCCTGGAGTGCATGGAGTTGATCTGCCTAAGTCTTAGGATAACCTCTGCCCCGAAAGGATAAAAAAGTGTAAAAAATAGAGGGAGGAAAGAAATGTAAAATGTCAAGAGGGAAGGAGCTGTACCTCTTTCCAGCTCAAGCCCAGCAGATTGTCAAGGCACTCACAGAACTCTGTGTGCTTTTACTTCAAACCCTTCAGTTCCTCCAAAGAGACCTACCCCAACACTTTTATTTGGGTTTAAGTGCATCAGTGTATACCTGTTCTTCATTAGTTTAAATTAACCATAATGGCCCTGATTTAAACACAAACAGGGAGACAGATGAAAAGCAAGGAGGTAAAAGGATCGTAATGAGCTGATGATGTTCTTTAGCTGAGCTGAGGTGACAGCACTGGACATGATCTCTCCCTGCCCTGGCTGGGGGGAGAAAGGCTTCTGTGCAGCCTCAAGGGTTTTAAGCATGGTTGGGGCAGGTCCATCTATCCTGAGCAGCTCATGAGGTGGCAGCTCCCGGCCTTACCCCCACCCTTCAGTTCACCCATCCCATCCCTACATCCCGCTCAAACCCTGCTGTCAAACCTTTCAGCAACGTGGACAAGTTGTCTTTGGAGACAGCAGGAGAGGAGGAGAGCTCACCCAGGGAGGGCAAGATGCAGGGCAGGTGCAACCCTCACCCTGATGGCATTTCCTAGCATGTCACTTGGGAGAAACCTCCCTTTTCTTCCTAGGTGGTTAAAATCCTGCTGTGCGTGAGAAGCTTCAGCCCAGCCTTAGCTCTGGAGAGAGGCACATGTTTTCTTTATCTCTGGATGTCACTGGACAGATTAGATGAGATATATTTATCTAGACAACAATCTCTGTTGCTGCAAAGATATGGCTGCAGAATTCCATGGGTTGAGATCATCCCATGCTGAGTTTAGCACCCGAGTGAAAAATGATCTTTCATTTTGGTGGTTGACATGTTTTCATCAAAACATAAGGAGAATGAGTAATTTGGACTCAAGTGTTGGGTGTTTGGGCTTTTCTTTTTTTTTTAATTCACATTTAAAAAGCAGTAAAGAGTCTGTGGGGCGGGTTATTTTAAGCAAAACCATCCTTATGAACATTGTCCTGGTGCAGTATTTGTTCCTTGTTTTCTTGTATTTTCCAGTTTGCTTGTTCCCAGCAGGGTCAAAAACCCAGCTCAAGGAAGGAGGATGAAATTTTAAGGAAGAAGAGACTGCATGAAAGAAATAAGAAAGATCAAAAATGTGTCATTTCCTGCAATTATTGTCAAGGAAAATTAAGGAATAAATATGCTATAATATTTTTTGTCCACTCTCATGCCCAGTGTACCCACCGATCTCCCATGCTCTGACAGCATCAGTTAAATCACTCTACTGTCCACTTGGACTGCCCTTTAAAATAACTTTTTTTTTTGAGGAAGAAAAGTTGAAAAATCATGGATAAACACACTCCAAGGAAATATTTCCTGTGTACAGTAGAAAGAAGCTGAGGGAGAGCCCCTGCTCCCCACCAGGGTCAGTCCCCATTGCAATGTATGGAGGCAGGTCATGGGGAGGAAACCAGTGTAAACAGGATCTGCTTTTATCAGTGGGAAAAAAACCCAACCCCCTTAAAACTAGCCAGAAATATGTGTCTATATGTTACAGTCACAGGCTGCTGTGTCCAAGTCTTGCTGCAGGGTTAAGTCAGAGGCACAGAGCTGTCCCTGAATGCAAGACCCTGCCTGTCCCCTCTGCTTTGGGAAGTAGCTAGTGAGGGACAGCCCATGCCTGCCACCCCAGCAGGATGCCTGGACTGGGGTGTCAGGACCAGGGTAAAGCATGGCAGGGATGTTTGCTGGAAGCTCTGGATGTGGGGCAAAAAACAAAACCTGCCAGCCATGCAGAACATCCTCCTGGTGGGATGCTGGAGCGAAGGGGAACCTGCCAGCCTGGAGGGACATCCTCCTGGTGGGATGCTGGGGCAGGGGGGGCACATGACAGCCATGTTGGGCATTATCCTGGTGGGATGCTATGGCTGGGGGAACATGCCAGTGTGGCAGGACATCCCTCCTGGTGGGATGCTGGGGTTGGAGGGGGACATACCAGATAGAAATGACATCTCCCCCGGTGGGTGCTGGGGGGACATGCCAGCCATGCAGGGCATCCTTCTAGTGGGATGCTGTTTCTGGGGATCCTGTCAGCCATGCAGGGCATCCTCCTGGTGGGATGCTGGGCCTGGGGTCCTGTCAGCCCTGCTGGGATGCATCCTCCTTCTGGGATGCATCCTCTTGGTGGGATGGTGGGACTGGCGGACGGGGGAAGAGGAGGAGGAGGAGAGGCATGCCAGCCGTGCAGGACATCCTCCTGGCGAGATTCTAGGGCTAGGGGGGACACACCAGCCTGGCAGAGCATCCGCCTGCTGGGACGCTGGGGCTGAGGGGGGCATGCCAGACTGTCAGAGCATCTTCTTGGTGGGATACCTGTGCCGGGGACCACGGCACGGGCGGTCTCCAGCGGGTAAGTGCTGCTCCCCCTCAGCCCCAGGACCCCCGTGCGGGGGGACACACGGACCCGCCGGGCAAACCCTTTGCTCTGCTGCCGCCCGGCGGTGACGGGCGGGACGGCTGCACCCGGGTACCCCCCACCCACCCCAGGGGTCTGCACCCGCTGCTGCGCGACCCCTTCGCGGGTGGATTCCCTCCCGGCCGTGCGTGGCTGAAACCCCCCGTCCATCATCTCCCATCTCCCTCCGCCCGCCGGCTCCGCCGCCAGCTCGTCCTGCCCTGTGCTCGCCTCGTCCAGCAAAGCAGCGCTGCTGCCGCCCCGCCGCCTCCTCCTCCTCCTCCTCCTTCCCTTCCTCCTCCTCCTCCCCCGGCGGCACCTGACGCGCGGGGCTCCCGCCCGCCCCCGCCCCGGTCCCGTCCCGCCCCTCCCGCCGCTCCCGGTCCGAGCAGGGAGCGGAGCCGCCGGCGCTGCCGCCCGAGCCCAGCGCAGCCCCCGGAGCATGAGAGGGCGGCGGGGGGGCTCCGACCGCGCTGCCCCCCCGGGCTGAGCGGCGGGGAGAGCCCGCAGCGGAGCGGGGGGCAGCGCGGCCGCACGGCGTGAAGCTCTCTCTCATCCCGCTCTCTCATCCCGCTATCTCATTCCTCTCTCTCATCCCTCTCTCTTATCCCTTTCTCCATACCTCTCTCCATCCCTCCCTCCATCCCTCTCTCATCCTTCTCTCCATCCCTCCCTCCATCCCTCCATCCCGGCCGGGGGAGCGGGGTGCGGAGCGGGTCTAGGCGGGGGCTGCCGGCCGGGGATCATGCCGGGGGAGCTGCGCCTCGGCACCGCTTTCTCCTCGCCCTCCATGGAGCCCGGACTTTCTCTACAATGACTTTCCCCGAGCTGAGCAATGGCAGCTTGAGTGGGAACCGGACGGGACAGGGCAGCCAGAGCGGTGCCAACCGGTCCTGGGGGCTGCAGGGCGAGGAGAGCCCCGACGGCAACGGCACCACGCTGACTTTCGCCTTGGACGTGCAGGCGGTGGGCGTCGGGGTCTTCCTGGCCGTGTTCATCCTCTCGGCCATCGTGGGGAACATCCTGGTCATCCTGTCGGTGGCTTGCAACCGGCACCTGCAGACGGTCACCAACTACTTCATCGTCAACCTGGCCATCGCCGACCTGCTGCTCAGCACCACCGTGCTGCCCTTCTCGGCCACCCTGGAGGTGTTGGGCTTCTGGGTGTTCGGGCGCATCTTCTGCAACATCTGGGCAGCGGTGGACGTGCTGTGCTGCTCTGCCTCCATCATGAGCCTGTGCATCATCTCCGTGGACAGGTACATCGGCGTCAAGTACTCCCTCAAGTACCCCACGATCATGACCGAGAGGAAGGCGGGGGTCATCCTCGTGGTGGTCTGGCTCTCCTCCATGGTCATCTCCATCGGGCCCCTGCTGGGGTGGAAGGAGCCGCCGCCACAGGATGAGAGCATCTGCAGCATCACAGAGGAGCCAGGCTATGCCCTGTTCTCCTCCCTCTTCTCCTTCTACTTGCCCCTCATGGTCATCCTGGTGATGTACTTCAGGATCTACGTGGTGGCCAGGCGGACCACCCGGAGCTTGGAGGCAGGGGTCAAGAAGGAGAGGAATAAATCCATGGAGGTGGTTCTGCGCATCCACTGCCGCAGCGTCCTGGAGGAGCCTCTCTCCAGCACCCGGAGCAAGGGGCACAACTTCAGGAGCTCCCTCTCCGTGCGGCTCCTCAAGTTCTCCCGTGAGAAAAAGGCAGCCAAGACTCTCGCCATCGTCGTGGGTGTTTTCATCCTCTGCTGGTTCCCCTTCTTCTTCATCCTGCCTTTTGGTAAGTGACCCCGTCCCCCCTCTCAGCCCTGCTTCCTGTGACTGGACCCTTGGGGACCTGCTCCTTGGGACAAACTTTCAGGACACAACTCATGCACAGATGTGAGGGATAGATAACTGATAGGTGAATAAACCAGCAATGAATTAATTCAGTTAATTAACACTCAATTTTTATTAACCAAACTCATATAATCAGTCAAAGTAAATAGCAAATGAATAAAATAGCAGCATAATAATTGCTTTAATTAATTCATTCTGCATTCAGCATTTTAAATAATGAAGTTCAGGCTAAGGAGCAAGCAGCTCTGTTTCAAACAGGCTGTCATTGTGGCACAGTGGTCTCCAAAGAGTTTTGCTGTTCTCCCTTCCTCCCAGTTTGGGAAAGGCACCTGGATGTGGCTCTGTGAGTCCAGGGCTCCCACCTCTGTTGGAGATGAGTGAGGTTTGATCTCTCCAGGGAGTGTCAGAGTCTGAAGCATAAGTCTCACTGACTTCCCAGGATGTCGTTGTCGTGCAGGGACCTGGAGCAGGACCAGGTATTATCTAAGGGTGATGGGAGAAGGTCCTATGTGATTTCCCAGGACACTCCTTTAGGGTTGTCTGACAAGTTGTGCTCTAAAGTTTTGGCAAGTTGTCTGTGAAAAGGATGCAGAAGAGGCGTGCAGAAGAGACTGAGCAGGCACAGAATGTGCTGGGGACGTGTGATGTCCAAAGCAGCATTCCTTTCCAGCACCAGTGCAGGGATGCCAGTGCTCTTCCTCACCACCTCACTGAACGAGCACCCAGCTCAGGGGACCTGATGAGCCCCCTAGAATGCTGTACCTAAACCTGGAGGGGGGGAAATAGAGGTTAAAATAACTTGTGGATGTCAGCAGCAGCCTTTTGCACAGAGCTCAGCAAAGAAGAGAGGTCTGTCATTCCATCTGCCAGCGGGGACCCACGTGTCCCACAGCCCACCAGGGACTTGTGTCCCACCAACCCTGCAGCCAGGGAAGCAGTACAGCTGGTTCTGCACTTTTTCTCAGGGTTTTTCAAATCCTCTTGCTTGAGGCTCCCTCTCAAGTCAGTGGAAACAGCATCGTGACCACGGGACAGATTTTGACCTGCGGAGGTTTTGAGCTCCCTCCAGCACTGCAGCTGTGCCCCTGGGGACAGCTGGAGCCCAGGGCTATGAGACACCCTCCAGTGGGATAAATCACCAGGATTGGTGGTGTCTTGGGAGCTGAGGTATCCCTGGAGTGGTGGATCAGGGCTGTGCGTGTCTGCTCTCATTATACTTCTGTCTTGTACTTCTTTGCTCCAGTTTCTCTGTCTGGGGGAGGGTGGTATTTGGGAAGTTTATCTCAGCTCTCCACGGAGGTGAAATCGCTGCTGTGGAGAGTTTTCACCCTATATAAGTGTTGCAGTTCATGGTAAAACTCAAGCAGGGAGCAGTAAGGTTGCACTGAGCTGCTCTCTCTGCAAGACCTGAGATTAATTGCCCTGTCTGACCACGCCTGACATTCCCTTTCACTGAGCAGGTACATGGGAGGGGGTTGTAGCCTGCAAATAAATAGTTTGGGAATTGTGGGGTTTGGGTAGATGCCAGTACCCAAAGGCTGAGCTCTCTGGGCAGCCCCAGTCTGATACTCTCCTCCTCAGCCAGAACCAGCAAGAACCAGCTCCAAACCTCACTCACACCTTTACACCTTAAAATACAGAAGCATGGAATGGTTTGGGTTGGAAGGGACATTAAAGATCATGTAGTTCCAACCCCTTGCCAACCTTGCAGCTAATGAAGCTGGGAAATGGGATCCTGTTCCTCTGAGTTACTCCCAGTACTTGGAAATAGAGAACAAACATGAGACAAATACTTTTCAGTAGAAATAAAAAAATATTTTGCTTTACTGTGTCTGTTCTCCCTTGAAACCCTTGAGCCAGCTTCTCTGCTGGTTAGGTAAATCACTACCCTTGTGCAGAAGTCAAAGGAGACACAGTGATTTCCACCGGCTAAAAATCCAAACTTCATTCTTGAAGTACCTCCCATGAGCCCTCCGAGCACACAACTTGCCAAGTCCTTTATAAACACGGCTTTGATCTTTACTTCCTGCTGTATTATATGTGTAACATAAACATAGCAAAACTTCATTTATTTTATGACTACAAAATATTCTGCTTCTCATTTCCCCACCCTTCATTAATTGCAGTTTTCCTATTCAAATCTCAGAATCATTCAGGGGCTATCTGGGAGGAGAACAGAAACTTCTAATCTCGGATTTTACAGCTCAGGACATGAGTCTGAAACTCACAGAAATCAGCAAAGTCCACTGTAAATTCACAATCTGAAACATACTGGGGCCAATTCTCCTTGAAAAGAAGGTTGTAAATGTTTAAGTAGAATGGGTTTTATTTGTTTGTTAGACAAAAATAGGTGAAATAATTTGGGACCAACTGGAAATTATAGGCATTTTAAATGAAAATTAAATTCTCGTGAGAAACTAAATAACTTTAAAATGAAGTGAAATGTATTGTTTCAATTTGAGTAAATGGGAGTTTATTAAAAAATGAGCGCTCAGAGACATTTCAATGTGAGCTGTTGCATTAAAATGAAGTGAATAAGGGATCTATTTTCTTCTGAAAATATCCAAATGTTTTGACTGTTTTTTCCCTCTTTGACATGAATTTGCAAGAAATCGTCCTTGGCTCGCACTGTTCGCTGTCATCTGATTATACTTTTTAGGGATAAGAAAATTTGTCAAGTGAAAAAAGACTCTCAGCTCTACTTAGCATTCCCTGAGCACTCAGAAACTTCCACACTGGCTCCATCGTCGGTGTCTGTGAGTCTGCACAGATCTTTGCAGCTCTCTGCAGAATAGTTTCCACATTAGTTACACAGGAGCAGTATTTATCACGTCAGGGTTGAAAAGCTGAAATAACCAGTAATTTTGAATAACACAATCTATGTGTGTGTGTGTTAAATGCTGTCAGCTGTTTCTCTGTTTAAATCATCTCAAATTCCCCAATAACTCCATGGTCTCTTTATCAGCTGAATAATTCAGCTCACTCTTGGGTGTGTGATACATGGGATGCCATCACCAGGAGTTTAAACAAAATTAACAGTTTTGTGGCTAATAAGACTCTTCAAGCAGCAGGTTCCTCAACCCGAGATGAATCCCAATTCCCCATGTGAGGGTGGTGCCCTTGCTGGGTGTGCAGTGGAGCTCTAAAAACTGCTCTGTCTCGGGATCCTGGGTGGTGGTGGTGGGGTTTGAGGCAGGATTCCTCTTCCCTTAGCAAACACCTGTCTAGAGAACATAACTGGAGACTTTTCAGAGGTGTGGGCAAGGAGTTTAAGGCTGGTTTATAGGACAGGATTCATCTCCCTTTGATTGTGTCAGACCAGGAAGGTGATCCAAGGGCTGGAGCCCTTCTGCTTTGGAGACAGGCTGAGAGAGCTGGGGGTTCAGCCTGGAGAAGAGAAGGCTCCAGGGAGACCTTAGAGCATCTTCCAGGTCCTAAAGGGGACTTAAAAAAAGGAGGCAGAGTGACTTTTTATATGGGTAGATAGTGACAGGACAAGGGGTAATGTTTTTGAACTGACAGCAAGGTTAGATGTTAGGAAGAAATTCTTTACTCAGAGGGTGGTGAGTAACTGGCAGAGGCTGCCCAGAGATGTTGTGGATGCCCCATCCCTGGAAGTGTTCAGGGCCAGGTTGGATGGAACTTGGAGCATTGGAGCAGGCTGCCCAGGGCAGTGTTGGAATCCCCATCCCTGGAGGGATTTAAAAGCTGTGTGGATGTGGCACTTGAGACATGGTTTAGTGGTGGCCTTGGCAGTGCTGGAGGATGGTTGGATTTGATCATCCCAGAGGGCTTTTTCAAATTTAACAATTCCATGATTCTATAGAGTCTTCACTGGCTCTTCTGCTAATGGAAAACTCTGCTAAAAGTTAGGTGCTGAGTTTGCCCTTGTAGTAGGGGCATCTGTACAATGTGGTCAAGGAACCAGAACCTGCTATACAACACCTATAGATAGATAGTCACCTGCTTTCTGAAGCCTGATCCTGGGGGAATTAATTAAGAGGAGGAGAAGGGGTGGAGCCCTGATCCCCATCCACTCCTCAGCTGGGGACCATGCAAAGGCAGTGTGGATCCCCAAGTGGGGCCATCTCAGGAGTGCAGTTAGAGACCTTCTCCATCACCACCCCAGAGAAAACAAGCATCTCTTGGGATCAAGGATGCACTAACTGGTACCCAGGATGGTGATTTACACACCTCAGTGGCCCTTGTCTTTTAAGAAACATTGTCTAGTCTGGGTGATGGGCTCCCATGTTTGTTATTCTTTGGATTTGGTTGGAAATCAAGAGCAGTGTGAGGAAGCACAGCAGCACCTGAGTTAGTGCCACACAAGGGAGCCACAACCCAAGGCTCCCTTCCCTCCATTCTTCCACAAGCAGCAGGTTACCCAGACAGGGAATGATTTAAGAGATCCCTCAGGATGAGCAAAGCCCTCCATGTTCATAGTCTGACGTTTGCCTTGGATTGGTGATTTGCTGTGCTTGCGGGGGAAGCCGGTGCTCATTTCCAGGAATGAGCCAGAAAAACAGCGTCCTGGCTTTTTCACCTGCACCCTGAAGGAAAGGCAGATGCTACACCAACGAGGCCCAGAAAGGTCTCCTTTGAGCCAAAACATAGATGTATTTGTAGATGCTGTTTTTCATAGGGCAGGAGTCCTTTCACAAAGCATTTTGGAGAAGACAGGCTCACAGAGGCATAGCAGTGCTCAACTTTCAGGAGCTGTCACTCGCAAAATAAATGATGGGGATGACACTGTAGGTAGAAGAACATTTCAGATGAGACCAGGTCTGTTCTGGTAGACGTGGAGAATCTAATTTTACTCTGATATAAGAGGATTTAGCATGGTTTCCTGATGAAAAAAAAAGGGCTTATGTCATTTCTCTGTGCCTGAGAGCATGGAAGTTTTTACCACCTGATGAACTCTTTCATGGCAGAATCATAGAA